GGGTTCCCCTTTCTCCACAACCTCTCCAACATTTGATGCTTCTTGTCTTGTCAATTCTTGCCATTCTAAATGGTGTAAGGTAGTATCTCAGTGTGGTTTTGACTTGAATTTCCCTAATGGCTAATGATGATAAACATTTTTTCATGTGTCTGTTGGCCATTTATATGTCTTCTTTGGAGAAGTGTCTCTTCATGTCCTCTGCCCATTTTTTGACTTGATTATTTGTTTTTTGGGTGTTGAGTTTGAGAAGTTCTTTATAGATCTTGGATAGCAGCCCTTTAACTGTAGTGTCATTTGCAAATACCTTCTCCCATTCTGTGGGTTGCCTCTTTGTTTTGTTGACTGTTTCCTTTGCTGTGCAGAAGCTTTTTATCTTGATGAAGTCCAAAAGTTCATTTTTACTTTTGTTTTACTAGCCTTTGGAGATGTATCTTGAAAGAATTTGCTGTGGGCGATGTCAAAGAGGTTACTGCCTGTGTTCTCCTCTAGGATTTTGATGGACTCCTGTCTCACATTGAGGTCTTTCATCCATTTTGAGTTTATCTTTATGATGGTGTTAGAGAATGTTCGAGTTTCATTCTTCTGCGTGTGGCTGTCCAATTTCCCCAGCACCATTGATTGAAGAGATGGTCTTTTTTCCATTGCATATATTTTTCTGCTTTGTTGAAGATTAGTTGACCATAGAGTTGAGGGTCCATATCTGGGCTCTCTATGCTGTTCCATTGGTCTATATGTCTGTTTTTGTGCCAGTACCATGCTGTCTTGGTGATCACGGCTTTGTAATATAGCTCGAAATTGGGCAACGTGATGCCCCCAGCTTTGTTTTTCTTTTTCAACATTTCCTTGGCGATTCAGGGTCTTTTCTGATTCCATACAAATTTTAGGATTGTTTGTTCCAGCACTTTGAAAAATGTCATTGGAATGTTGATCAGGATGGCATTGAAGGTATAGATTGCTCTGGGTAACATAGACATTTTAACAATGTTTATTCTTCCTATCCATGAGCATGGAATTTTTTTCCATCTTTTTGTGTCTTCTTCAATTTCTTTCATGAGTGTTCTATAGTTCCTAGAGTATAGATCCTTTACCTCTTTGGTTAGCTTTCAGATAAAAGGCCAGTACCCAAAATCTATAAAGAACTTCTCAAACTCAACACTCGAAAAGCTAATAATCCAGTCGAGAAATGGGCAGAAGACATGAACAGACATTTCTCCAGAGAAGACATACAAATGGCCAACAGATGCATGAAAAACTGCTCAACGTCGCTCCTCATCAAGGAAATACAAATCAAACCCACATGAGATAACACCTCACACCAGTCAGAATGGCTAAAATTAACAAGACAGGAAACAACAGATGTTGGCGGGGATGCGGAGAAAGGGGAACACTCTTAAACTGTTGGTGGGAATGCAAGCTGGTACGGCCACTCTGGAAAACAGTATGGAGATTCCTCAATCGTAAATGGGTTTATTTCCATAATTTCTCTTTCTTCAGTTACATTTTTAGTGAATAGAAAAGCAACTGATATCTGTGCCCCGATTTTGTATCCTGCCACGTTGCTGAATTCCTGCATGAGTTCTAGCAATTTTGGGATGGAGTCTTTTGGGTTTTCCACATAAAGTATCATGTCATCTGTAAAGAATCAGAGTTTGACTACTTCTTTGCCAATTTGAATGCCTTTTATTTCTTTTTGTTGTTTGCTGAGGCTAGGACTTTGAGTACTATGTTGAACAATAGTGGAGAGAGTGGGCATCCTGTTGTGTTCTTGACCTTAGGAGAAAGCTCTCAGTTTTTCCCCATTGAGAATGATGCTCGCTGTGGCCTTTTTGTAGATGGCTTTTATGATATTGACGTATGTTCCCTCTATCCCTACATGGTGGAGAGTTTTGATCAGGAGAGGATGCTGTATTCTGTCAAATGCTTTTTCTGCATCAATTGAGAGGATCATACGGTTCTTTTCCTTCCTTTTATTAATGTGGTCTTCCAAGTTGATTGCTTTGTGGATGTTGAACCATGCTTGCAGCCCAAGAATAAATCCCAGTTGGTCATGGTGCATAATCCTTTTAATGTACTGTTGGATCCTGTTGGCTAGGTTCTTGGTAAGTAATTGGGCATCCATGTTCATCAGGGATATTGGTCTGTCATTCTCCTTTTTGGTGGGGTCTTTGTGTGGTTTTGGGATCAAGGTAATGCTGGTCTCATAGAGTGAGTTTGGAAGTTTTCCTTCCATTTCTTTCTTTCTTTCTTTCTTTCTTTCTTTCTTTCTTTCTTTCTTTTTTTTTTGAAACAACTTCATGAGAATAAGTATTATTTCTTCTTTAAATGTTTGGTGGAATCCCCCTGGGAAGCCATCTGGCCCTGGACTCTCGTTTGTTCGGAGATTTTTGATTACTGTTTCAGTTTCCTTGCTGGTTATGGGCCTGTTCAGGTTCTATTTTCTTCCGGTTTCAGTCTTGGAAGTTAATAAGTTTCCAGGAACACATCCATTTCTTCCAGATTGCTTAATTTATTGGCATATACTTGCTCAATACAAGTTCTTAAAATTGTTTGCATTTCCTTGGTGTTGCTCATGATTTCTCCTCTTTCATTCATGATTTTATTAGCTTGGGTCCTTTCTCTTTTCTTTTTGATAAGTCTGGCTACAGGTTTTATCAATCTTATTAATTCTTTCAGAGAACTAGCTTCTAGTTTCATTGATCTGTTCTACTGTTTTTTGGTTTCTATTTCATTGATTTCTGCTCTAATCTTTATTAATTCTCTTCTCCTGCTGGGTTTAGGCTTCATTTGCTGTTCTTTCTCCTGCTCCTTTAGGTGTAAATTTAGCTTGTGTATTTGAGACTTTTCTAATTATTGAAGTCTTTTATTGCCATGTACTTCCCTCTTAGGACCGCCTTTGCTGCATCCCAAAGGTTTTGAAGAGCTGTCTTTTCATTTTCATTGTTTCCATGAATTTTTTTCAATTCATCTTTAATTTCCTGGTTGGCCCATTCATTCTTTAGCAGGATGCTCTTTAACCTCCAACTATTTGAGTTCCTTCTAAATTTCCTTTTCTGATTGAGTTCAACTTTCAAAACATTGTGGTCTGAAAATATGCAAGGAAACAATCCCAATCTTTTTTTGTAATGGTTGAGATCTGATTTGTGACCCAGTATATGATCTATTCTGGAGAATATTCCATATGCACTCCAGAAGAATGTATATTCTGTTGTTTTAGGATGGAATGCTCTGTATATATTTGTGAAGTCCATCTGGTCCAGTGTGCCATTCAAAGCCCTTGTTTCCTTGTTGATCTTTTGCTTAGATGATCTGTCCATTGCTGTGAGTGGGGTGTTAAAGTCCTCTACTCTTATTGTATTATTATCAAGGTGTTTCTTTAATTTTGTTATTAATTGGTTTATATAATTGGTTGCTCCCAAGTTACGGGCATAAATATTTATAATTGTTAGATCTTCTATAGGATAGACCCTTTATGTATGATACAGTGTCCCTCTTCATCCCTTACTACAATCTTTGGATTAAAATCTAATTTGTTCAATATAAGTACCCAAGCTTCCTTTTGATGTACAGTAGCATGATAAATAGTTCACCCCCTCACTTTAAATCTGGAGGTGTCTTTGGGTCTAAAATGAATCTCTTGCAGACAGCATAATGATGGTTCTTGCTTTTTTTTTTTTATATCCAATCTGAGACCCTGTGTCTTTTCATGGGAGCATTCAGCCCATTTACATTCAAACTATTGAAAGATACGAATTTAGTGCCATAGTATTGCCTGTAAAGTCCTTGTTTCTTTTTCTTTTTCTTTTTTTTAAAGATTTTATTTATTTGACAGAGAGAGCACAGCAGGGGGAGCGGCAGGGAGAAGGAGAGGGAGAAGCAGGCTCACCGAGCAGGGAGCCCGATGTGGGGCTTGATCCCAGGACCTGGGATCATGACCTGAGCTGAAGGCAGATGCTTAATGACTGAGCCAGCCAGGCGCCCTCTAAACTCCTTGTTTCTGTGGATTGTCGTTTCTTTGTCGTGGTCTAAGTTACTTTTGGGCTCTCTCTTTGCTTACAGGATCCCTGTTAATATTTTTGCCGGGCTGGTTTAGTGATCACAAATTCTTTTAGTTTCTGTTTGTCCTGGAAACTCTTTATCTCTCCTTCCATTCTGAATGACAGCCTTGCTGGATAAAGTATATTTGCTGCATGTTTTTTTCATTTATTACCCTGAATATATCATACCAGCCATTTCTGGCCTATCAGGTTTCTGTGATTAGGTCTGCTGCCAGTCTAATGTTTCAGCCCTTGTAGGTTAAGGACCTCTTGTTTTGAGCAGCTCTCAGGATTTTCCCTAGGTCACTCATCCCAGAGGCTTTGTACTCTTGTGTTTTCATTTTCATTTGCTTCCATGACTGGCCTGGGGAAGCCCTGGAATCTTTGGATTGGTCTCCATGTAGCTCTGCACTCACCTGCCATGGTGAGGGAGAGAGAGAGATGGGGGTGGGGGGTGCCAAGGTAGACCAGATGTCCAGGCTGTTGTGAGAGGGAGGAGGGAGGGAGAAGGAGGGGAGGAGGAGATGAGGAAGACTGGCGTTTACTGAGCAACTGCTTCATGTCTGGCACAGGGCTCAATGCTTTACAACTGCCCCCAAGTACATTTCAGAAATGTGTGTAATGATATGGTGTCCCAGTCAGCTTGGGCTGTGTCACAAATACCACGGGCTGGGAGGTTTAAACAGCACACATTTATTGTGTCCCTGTCCTGGGGACTGGAAGTCCCAGATCCAGCCATGGGTGGGGCTGGTTCCTCCGAGGCCTCTCCCCCAGCATGTACATAGGGTCTCCTGCCCATGTCCTCATGTGGTCAGCAGCCTGTGTGTCTGTGCTTCTGATCCCATCTTCTTTTTTTTTTTAGATTTTTATTTATTTATTTGACAGAAAGAGAGAGAAAGCAGAGGGAGGGGCTTAGGGAGAAGCAGGCTCCCCACCAAGCAGGGAGCCCGATGCGGGACTCTGTCCCAGGACCCTGGGATCATGATCTGAGCTGAAGGCAGATGCTTAGCTGGCTGAGCCACTCAAGCACCTCTGATCCCCTTTTGATAAGGACTCCAGTCATGCTGGATCATGGCCTACCCTAGTGACCAGCTTTTACCTTAACCACTTCTGTAAAGACCCCATCTCCAAATACAGCCCCATCTTGAGGTCCTGGGGGTTGGGCTTCAACATGTGAATTTGAGGGTACATGATTCAGCCCATACTATATTGTCAGTATTCCACAGGGAAGGAAAATGAAGATAAGACAGGATAATTCAGAAAGGTGCATCCTTGTATGGGTCTAGTTGCCATGTAGAATGGATATGTCTCCCCCAAAGCTATGACAGGCCAGAGCAGAGAGATCATGGGTCTTGTTGGAGGAGGGTCCCCACCCTCTTCTCTCCCTGGTTCTGAGGAGGCCCCAAGGCCTCTGGGGCCTCAAAATCTGAGATGATCAGGGGGATGGTGTCGTGTGTCCAGAGGCAGAAGAATGGCCTCAGGGGCTCTGAGGAGAGTCCAAAGAATGTGTAGATGAGAGATCCATTGCCCATGTTGTAGAAGGAGACTGTGCCAGCATCACAGTCCAGGAGAATGCCCACCTGATGCAGGGGCCCTGAAGGGTACAGGCGAACCCTTGGGAAGGCGAGGGCCCAGAACGTCTTCTTGTAGAGCTCCAGGGTCCAGAGTCCATGCTGGGGGGCCTTGGGGATCCTTCCCTTCCGATCCAAGCTCTCCAGACACACGCCAACATTCCAGGCCTTCCTGTGCCCCACCTGGACCTCCCAGTAATACCGCCCAGCAGAGAACTTCTCCCGGGCCAGTACACAGGGATCCTGGTCAAATCTGCTGGGGACATCTGGCAGTTCCTGGTCAAAGAACAGCCGCCTCACACTCTTCCCATCCTCAGACAGGGCGAGTTTGGGGCTTGCGGTATCAGGGTCCAGGGATGGGCTCACTGTAGGAAGAGGAGAGGGTTAGGCTTGGGGGTTTGTGTCCCCAACCTGCACTCTTGCATGAAGGGGACCCCGGGGCCTCTGGGCGAGGTGAAACCACAGCCTCCCTGGGAGTCCCTGCATTCCCCCCTCCCCGTGTTCTGTCCAGGACCCCATGCAAACAAGCCATCCCAGTGCAGCTGAAGCAGCTCCAGGTGGATTTCTGCCAATGAAGGGACATGGCTGGCACACTGTGGGGTCTGCTTGCCCCCCAGTTCTCAGTCTCTCAGCACGTGTGTGTGTGTGTGTGAGAGAGAGAGAGAAACAGAGAGACAGGTAGACAGGGAGAGTCAGAGAGAGAGACAGAGACAGAAGCAGGGAGAGATGGGGAAGAGCCAGAAAGGCATAGGGGAGAGCTAGAGACAGAGACAGTGTTCTGAGATATAGGGAAAGACAGAGAGAGACAGAGACAGAGGTAGAGAAAGGCAGGGAGAGAGACATAGGGGAGAGATAGAGATAGAGACACAGAGAGATAGGGAGAGACAGAGAGACAAGGAGAGCAAGGAGAGACAGAATAAACCAGATAGACACCGGGAGAGAGATAGAGAGAGATACAGAGACAGAGAGACAGAGACATAGAGAGAGAAAAAGAGAGAGACAGAGAAAGAGACAAATACAGAAACAGAGATAAATAGATAGGGAGAAATAGAGAGATAGACATACAGACAGACAAAGAGAGATGGGGAGACAGAGACACACAAAGAAAGATAGAGACACAGAGAGAGACAAAATGAGCAAGATGGAGAGACAGAAACAGAGAGACATAGGAAGACATGGGAGGATGCAGGGGGATAGGAGAAGGTGCCACAGGTGCTGCTGGACAGCTCTGGGGTCAACGACTGAAGAGTCACGTGTGGGAAAGCCCAGGAGGCATCTTAAGAGCCCCAAAGCTGAGATGAACACCTTCCAAAACAGAGTCCTTCTCTCCTGCCCTGCCATCCTTCTCAGAGCCCTCAGAACCCCAGCGTATGACCTGGGGGAAGGTCTGTCTACACTCGGGCTCCATACCAGAGGCAGGGAGGGTGTGTGGGGACCAGCTGGGCACCAAGCTGCCCCTGCAGGCACCTTCTCAACAATAGAAACTTCCTAGCCAGTGTCCACGCTGGCCCATTCTAAAGCCAAGTATGTTGTTGTTTGCTTGGGTCTGCATCCAGATGCCCCAGATACTCATGTTTCCTAACCTTCCATTCCTGTCAGTTGGACAGGACCCATGCTCTCCTCTTATTTGAACCCCAGCTTTCTCCCTGGTCTCTACCTCCTTCTGGATAGAACTCTGTTCCCTTTTGCTTTCCAGCAAAGACTATTTGTTTCCCCCCAGAACTCTCATTGCTGCTTTCTGAATTCTCCACCTTCTGCTCCATCAAAACCCTTCCCCTGTAGAGTCTGGGCTGTGGAGATGGAGCCCACCCATGTTCCATCTCCATGATATGGTCGAACATGGACTCCCTAGCTGAACAATGAGCCTGGCTCCTGTTATTCCAAATTCCCTCATGATGAAATAAAAATTATTTACAATACAAAAACAGTCCCAGACTTACAAAGAAGCTGAAAAATAGCATGAACAATAAAACACGAGATCATTCCTTTTAGGCAACAGACATGCTCTGCTACCTTAAAATAAGGACCCTAAAGTAAAACCAAAACAAACCCAAATAAAACACTCTGCATGATTCCCCACTCACCAGTTTTTAGCTCAGCTGCACAGACAATAATTTTGAAGTTTTTCTTCCAGCTGTCTCCATGGGGCACACCTCTCTTTGCACACCACACTAGCCAGTTTTTCTGGGTCATGTTCCCTATCTTATCTCACTGTACTTCTCAGCTGCATGGAATGCCACCAGCTGTTCCCTCACCACACTGTATCCATGGATTTCAGTGGATAAGCATCCCCTGGCCCTCCCACAACTCTCCCCAGACTCCTGCTCAAAGAGACCTCCAAATACCAGGTTCTCCAAGCCTAGATCTTGGATATGTCTTCTGTACCTTTCCTTTTTGTTTTTTAAGCTTATTTCTTTTTCAAAGAAAAATTTTTGAAGAGTAATTTTAGGAGTGCAGATAAATGGAGCACTTCCTGGCTCACTTTTCTGGTTTTCAAGGCCAGATATATGCCATGGATCCCAAATTCCTATCTCAACTCCACATTTCTTCCTGGGAGCTCCAGACTTGTGTATCTAAAGATTTATCTGATGTCCCCAGATGGAGATGTCTGAAAACATCTCACTCTTAAGAGGTCCAAGATGATTTTCACTTCTTTGACCTAAATCTGTCTTATTTTGCTTCAGGGTTTCTCTTAGATGGAGCCACCATGGGCCCAGGGACATTGGCTCTGAGAGTCACCTTGGGTTCCTTGTTCTGCCTTGCCCCTGCTGACCCTGCTACTTATGGCCCCAGGACCCATCTCAGGGCTATTTCCTCTCCTCCATCAGCACCTCTCCCCTGCTTAAACCTCCTCACTCATTCTGCACCATATTTCACATGACATCCAGACCCCTACCTCGGCCTTCCAGACTCTGCTGGTCTGGGCATCCATACACCTTCTCACCCCATTGGGTTCTCTTCCACATGCCCAGCTCTCGCACGCCACAGGTGGCCTTCTCCCTGCCGTGGTGGTGGGCCCACCCCTCCTTCCTGCAGGGCTGTGGTCTCACTGTCACCCGGACCTTCATTTAGATGTTGCCATCCCACCATTCCCAGGGCCCTGGACACCCTATGTCAGTGCTCTTCTGTCCAACCTCATTATTGTATTCCAGTTCAGTCCTACAATATTTACCCTGATTTATTCCAGTTTTGGTTAAAGAAAAATCACTGGCTGATGGCTTGATACCCACACAGAATCTATGCCTCTTGAGGACAGGAGGAAGCCGTTTCATTCACTAATAGATGGCTGGCTGCTGGAAGAGGAGGTGACTGGTCAATATTTTACATGAATTAATAAGTGAATGAATGAATAGATGATCGGCTTCTCTCTGTCCCCTCCTGGACCCTCACCAAGAGGCTGTGCTCAGACAGGTGTCCCCAGCTTCCCTGATACCTCTAGGTGCCTGGTTCATGGTCTGCAGTTATGCCTCTCCTAGTCCTCTGTCCACAGCCAGACTCTCCCCTTCCCACTCCACACTTCCCACGTAGATGGTGTCCTGGGGTAGATAGTCACTGGTTCTCCACTCTCCCTGGTGACAGAGTCCCTTCCACAGTGGCCGTGCCCCAAGAGAGCTGGCTTTCTTGCTACCTAGGCTCTGCAAGTCTGTCTCTTCCCCACGTAGCAAACAGGAGCTAAGTTCTCCCAGGGCAGCTAAAACTTGATGTTTAGAGCCATGTAACTGCCACTCACCAGTATTTAGCACAACAGTTCTGCACTCTGGAATAGAAAGGAATGCACACACACACACACACACACACACACCAGCGCTTGTGCATGCATATGTGCGCACACAAACACACACACGCATAAATGTACAACGAGCACACACAACACACACATACATGCACACATAAACACACAATCGGGGGGCAGAGGCTTTCAGCCCCCAGCATGGCCCTCACCATGGATGACCTTGTCCTTTGTCCAGCCTGCAATGAGAGAGAAAGATGGGAAAATGTGGGATTGTGCTGATCCAATGGGGCCAAAGCTCAAGTTCGGGAAAGCTAAGTCAAAACAGGACTGAATGAATTCTAGCTGTGACCTTGGAAAGCATGAACAAATATAGATTCTTCAGTGCCCAAGAAAACAATAATCTGAGTCTTTTCCTGTATAGGGAAATCATTGTGGGGCATATCCTGACAGCCCAGTCTTACCACTTCTGTCATGGAGACATCTGTGCTCTGCTCCCAGACTGGGGCCTGATGGCTATGGGCAAGGACACCGGGGGCAGGGAAGGGAGTGGATGGGCAAGTGCAACAGTGTGTATTGCTTATAGTCCCTGCACCTAGAGTGAGACCCTGGCAACCCTGCTGCATTTCTCACTTGAGCAGTTTCAGGATGTTCTCATCACCCCCAGCTGATAGACACTCCTGGGTTCAAGCTCAGATCTGTTTGTCTCTGTGATGGAGACTTTCCAGCCTTCCCAAAGTCACCTGTGAAGAGCAGCTGAACACCTCTCAGAGATAGAAGATTTCACTGGGCATATGTAAGTGGGTAGTCCCTGAGACGTGTCCTGGGCAGCTCTCTCCCATTTCCTCCCCTGCTTGAGCGTGCTCATAGGAGACTTCATGCAGGGCTCCCGACCTGTGCCCCGGTTGGAAGGGACATGTCTGTCCTCCTGAGACCTGCTTACCTTGGAAGTGCTGATCCTCTGCTCTATACAGTGTCTCTTCTTCCAGCTGAACCATATTCCTGTCCTTCTGACATTTCTGGAAGAGACAGGTGGCTCCAGCTGTGGCAAGCCCTGCCACAGTGAGGATCAAAGGTAGCACCGTCCTCCATGCCATTGACGGGGAACTTCTGGAAAACAGAGCTAAAAGAGAGCACAGGGAGGTAAGAATATCAGGGAAAAAGAGCACCTGTGTTCTTAGGACACACACATGACATGGTTTGTGGGTCGGGGGACATGATGCTTGGAACTAACCTGAAATGACTAGGAAGACATACGTCTGTGTTTGTACAGACAGATCTGGACAGATGCATAGGAAAAATGGTAGGTAAATGGCAGAATGTTAAACACTGGGTAGGTTTCCACAGCATTCTGCATGCCATTCTTGCAAATTTTCCATAAGCTTGAGGTTGTTTAAAAATGAAAATTATATGCAGAGTGTAACTTGGAAGCCCCCAAGGTGTCCATAAGAAGGTGAAGGCATAAATAGGCAGTGGTCCATCTAGTCAATGGAATGTTGTTTAGTACTAATAAGAAAGGAGCTATTGGTGCAACCACTGTGGGGACCTGGATGTATGTTCCTCAGATGATTAAAAGTAGAACTACCACACGATCCACCAATCCCACTTCTGGGTATTTATACAAAAGGTAAGAAATAAGAATATTAGCTCTAAAAAGTTACATGTCCCCTATGTTCATTGCACTCTTATTTACAATAACCAAGATATGGAAACAGCTCAAGTGTCTATTGAGAATGAAATGATAAAGGAGGAAAAACATATTTATGCAATGGGATAATACTCAGCTATAAACAAGATGGAAATCAGGCCATTTGCAACAACATGGATGGATAAATTGCGGGCATGTTGCTAAGTGAAGAAAGTCAGATGGGAAAATACTGTATGATCCCATGTATACGTGAAATCTAAAATGAAACAAAACAAGATAAAAACCCAAACTCCAAGAAAACGAGAAAGCCCAGCACATAGATGCAGAGAACAGATTGGTGGTTTCCAGAGGAGAGAGAAGGGGGTGGGTGTAATGTATGAAAAGGGGCAAAAGGTACCAACTTCCAGTTATGAAATCAGTAAGTTCTGGGGAGGTGATGAACAGCATGGTAACTATAGTTAATAGTGCTGTGTTGTATACTTGGAAAGATCATAAAAGTTCTCATCACAAGAAAAATGTTCTGTCACTGTGAGAAGTATTGGATATTAGGTACTTATTGTCGGGTGCTCAGACCTTTTTGGCCTGAACAGAACAAAACACTCACGGGGCAAGTGATGGTTGGCCATTTTCTTCCTCTGGAGGAGGGGGCTGTAGATGGAGCAGGAGAAGTTCCCCACAACCTCATCCTGGATGGTCACATTGGACACCACTGAGAAGAGGCCTGTTGTTGGTGAGGCTGAGAAGTAGGTCGCAGAAGGTAGGAGCTGGTCTCTAAAGTCTCTCCACTCCACCTGGGGCTCTGGATACCAGCCCTGCGAGGTGCATTGTGCCCAGACACCTTCACCCTGGATAACTTGTACTCGGAGTCTAGGCTTCGAGCCAAGCCCTGTGGGAAGAGACAGCCGTTCCAGTCTCCACAACCACCAGTGCTTCCATCAGAAAAGTACAAATCCTAAACATTCCTGCAGGAATTAGGGGTTTTTCACAGATTACCTACTCTGTGTAATGTTTATATGCCATATATGACCCTTGTTCCCAGAAAGCACAGGACAAAACAGAAAAGCCCCGGAAAGATCAAAAACACTTCCTATACTGCAAAATTAGTGTCTTTTCCTCCCTGTGTCTCTGTCCCTCTCTACCTCTGCTCCCCTCTTTCTGGATCAGTTCAGGAAAGGGAGAGAAGCAAATTTAGAAAACGACGTCAGGTGTCCTGAACTGGGCTTCACTGGCCCTGTGGAAAATATGTTTAGTGCATTTGTGGAATGTGCTCAGGCTTGGCCCAGAATGGGATGATCTGCACTGAGTGTCCGCTTTGGGGGGAAGTTCTGGGGGAGAACCGGAGCCCCAGCAGCTTGCCTTTACCTGCCACCATCAGCCACAGCCTGGCCTCCGCCGACATGATGCCGTCTTTGAAGTTGCAGTGGAAGGTTCCATTATCAAAAACTGTGACACTGTTTATCCTCACTGTGGCCTGTCCCTGGTCCAGCCCAGCGCTCAGGAAGGTGGTCCTTCCCTGGTACTCCCTCATCTGTTCTTCCTTCACGTCCATCCCATTCTTGTGCAGGTGCACGACTTGGGATGGCTGATCCCTGTACCACTGCAGCTCCATGTCCTTGGCACTGATATTGAGGGACAGATGACATGGTAGCCCCACATTTCCCCCTAGCACAGCCAGAACAGGCTCGCCAGGCCCAAAGACAGAGAAATCAGCTTTCCCTTAGGAGAGTAGATCAGAAAGTACTGGTTAGGCTGGTTGTGAGGAGACCAAGGGCCCTCCCACCCAGACCCAGGGTTCCCGGGGAAGGACTGCTTGGATCCTTGGTTGATGGCTGATGAGGGAAGGTGCCAGCCCAGCCCCCTCTGGCATTCCTCTCCATACACAGGGCATTCTCGTAGCATGAGGCAGGGGAGCTCTCCTACCATTTGCAGGGATGCCGCAGGACAGGAGCTGCAGGAAGATGAAGATGATGGAGCAGCTGGGTGGAAAGATGACTTGACCATGTGTGTTTGCCATGCCTGCTGGGGACAGAGAAACCTGAGCCCTACACATTGGAGGTTGAGTTAATTTCTGTCTCTGCCTCTGTCGTCTGTCTGTCTCTCTTGTTCTCTGTCTGTCTGCCTTGGTGGGAGATCAGGCACCACCAGAATCCTAACAGGAGTCAAGGAAACATGGTCAGGGGAGAGAAAGGTCACTTTTAACTATCTTGTTCCCTCTCACTCCCACACAAGTTGTTCATCCTACAGACAGAGACAGCAGCCTCCACCTGCTCTTGTGTCCATCTGCTCTTGGATATTGTTTCTCTTACCCTCATCTGTCCACAGAATGACTCAGACACTCAGACACCTCCTCCATGCATGGGCTCCATCTCATCACTTACTGGTGTAAGAGTATTGCCTGATCTCTGGCTCTGTTCTATCATGAACACAATCACGCTGGGGAGAAAACGCACCTCTGTTTTAGTGAATCCAAGGTCAGACCTCTGTCTGTCCACTCCCTTGAAGCCCTCTTGACCCTGTTGCTCCCAAGGAACATTTTCCAGTTGAGAAGGGGAGGGAGCCCCAGGGCTCCTTGGCTGTGATGGTGGGAGGCCAAGATGCACCTAAGCTTTACTAGTTCTGGTGTACTCAGTTTCAAGGACACTTGTTCTGAGACCCATCTGCTCTTCTGGGTGGTTTCACCAAGCACAGCTTTGCAGGTTTGGTATTTATATAAAGCACGAGAAGGTATGCTGGAAGATACTCTCTTCCTGTTCAATGCTGGCCTTCCTTTGGCGAAAGCCCCTGGGGTCTCCCTGTCACTCAAGAATAGGGACAGGGTGTAGAAAGTAAAGATGTACATGAGTGCTCTTAAAATAGAAAACACTCACCTGGCCAAGTCCAGCTGTAGGTTTCCCAGGAAGCTTCTGGTGGCCTTGAGGGACTCGATTTAGTTCTCTGTTAGTTCCAGAGGGGGCATAAAACAAGTCTTCATTCGTTGTTTCGATAGAGGAGCAGCTGAGTTTCCCAGTTTCTGTAGAGTCCTCCTATTACTGTTTGTAAAAAATAACCAGCTGTGCCTATTGGCAGTTGCATTTAGAATAAAAAAATATATAGGTCAAGGGCTTCCTCCAGGGTGTGGTCAATGGAACTGAACACACTTAGTGTTGAGGAGCAAGACCCTGGTAGCAGGAGATAAGGGGAGAGAGGGGACCAAGCAAGTCAGTCCATGGAAGGATGGTTGTCAGGACCAGTGCCAGGAGCCCTGAGGAGGAGATATGGCTCTCGAGTGCTAGGATCCAGGCCAACAGCAGAAGTTGGGGGATTCAGATAAAGTTGCTCCATTATCAAAACACCTCCAGTCCTTGACAAGCTGGGCTATTTTCTGGGAAAGTTTCTCATGATCAGGTTGAAGTTGGCCAACTTCTGGCTTTTCCCTGGAGACTCCTGTGCAGGAACTCAGGCAACCTTCCCCTTCATCTCTGTGGCCATGGCAGTCTGTCCTCACTGGGGGCCTGACATGGGTCAGATTCAGAATACTCACCTTGTGTACCCCTTGCCTGAGTTAGACACTTGACTAAACCCTGACTGTTCTTCCCTCCCATTGACTCAAAAGTCTAGACATTTTCTGGGAGACTTTTGGTGGGAACAGAGGTATAGGGAAAGCTTCATGGTCTTCTTGGTGGTGAGGTGTTTAACTTAATTTGTCAGAATATTATGGAATGAATGTTTGTGCCTTCCCTCCCAAAGTCAGTGCTCACACAGGGGCCGATGCTGCCAACCCAAACCCTCATCTGCATTCCCCTTGACAAAGGAAACTATTTGGTGAGGGAGTGGTTCCCCTCTTCTATATAAACATGCTGAATTATGCCTGTGCATTGCTTGAAGCAGATAATGAACTCAGCTAAAACCCAAACCCAATGTACTTGTGAATCAGGTTGGAGGACTGGGGAATGTAACAGCTAGAGGGAGCATGCAGGATTCTCAACTGTGATGGAAGCAGGTGGATGCTTGCCCAGGAGAATGAATCCTGAACGTGGTCTCACCTGGACAGGGGTCCTTCCTGGGCTTGAGCTCATGCATGGCCTGGAGTCTTTTATCAGAGTAGGAAGAGCATTGGAAGACATTGTCCAAACCCATGAGGGGCAGTGTTGAGCCTTGACTGGCGACAGGCTCCCTGAGGTGCAAAGGGAGGACAGCGTGGAAAGGCAGACACAGAAGACCACATACTGTGGGATACCATTGCCATGAAATGTGCAGAAGAGGTAAATCCAGAGAGACAGATAGCAGATCTGTGGTAGTCAGGCAGTGGGAATGGGGGAAAATGGAAGGTAACGTTGTAATGGTTTGGGGTTTTATTTGGCAGGAGATAGAGGTGGTGGCACACAGGGTCATGAATGTGTTGTCACTGAGTCTTTCACATTCATGTGGTTGATTTTATGCTATGTTAATTTCACCCTAACTGGGAAAAAAGAAAAACAAATGGAAAAAAAGAAGAGCAAGGGGTAAAAAAGTCAATAGAGGAAACTAAGAATGGACAACAGTGAAAAAAAGAAAAGTAGATATAAAACTAAGAATTAAAGAAAAAGTGCAGAGAAGAAAAACAAGAAACCTGAGGGGCAAAAATGAAAACAGAAAAACCGCTAGAGAAAGAGCGCTGCCTCTGTCTCCTTGGGGATGGAATTAAGTGCCAACAGGAAAAGCAAAGGAAGAACCAGTCTCCAAGTTGCATTCTGTGGGCTGTTGGGCGCCCCCTGCAGGGATGCATGTGTGGTCCACCAGCCGCTCCCCGTGCGTGCTTCAGGGCATAGTGCAAACCAGGGAGGTTTATGGGGACCCAGGGCACCTGTGCTGTCCCATGCACCTGCGCCGGGCATCGATCAAGCCAGCTGAGCTCTCAGAAGTCCCTGCGAGCCGCAGGGCCAGGGTCCCTGTAGGCTCTGTCCTACAGATGGCCAAGGTCCTGGGAGAGCTAAGGGGCATCTCCTCTGTGCCCAGATCCCTGGTGAGCCTCTAGCTTCCTGCTCTGGGCTATGTGCACAGTGTCTCTAGATCCTCCAAGCATTTAAAGTGGTGCACCACCCCCCTCCCACATCACAGGCACCTTGGCTTACTCTCTGCCAACTGGGGCTTTACAGGTTTCCTGTCTGCAATGTCTGGTCCAGTCCCTTGCAGGATCCACCCCGTCCTTAGTTTCCCTGACCTCCCATCCTTGGGTGGGAAGGCTCCTTCTTGTCAACATTAGGTAAGGTGCCACGTGAGTGTAGCTTCGGATTTCCACCTGGTCCTCTGTTCTTGTGCATCTGTGGTCAGGTGAGCAAGGGAGGAGGGCCATGAGGAAGGAAACACTAGTGGCTCCCCAGGAGACAGGGTCCTCCAGGGGGAAGGAGGGGCTTGGGGGGCTGTGTTCCTTAGGGTTTGAGGAATTCAGCAGGACAGGGGAACTGGGCAGCTGCTATGTTCTGGGCCATGAAAGAAAGGTGAGTTGTCAGGACAGAAAAACCACTGCATCAAGGCAACAAAGGGTTTTGGTCGTCTAGTAGCTGGTAGTAGTTCTTATTCACAATCCTCTGTGGCCCTGGGAAGGCACGAGTGAATATAGGGAGGACAACTATCCCTTGGGATCTTGCTCCCCCTCCTCTTCCTCTTCTCCCTCCTCCTTTCTCTCCTCTCCCTCATTGCCCTGCTCCTCTCTCCTTCTCCTCCACCTCTCTGTCCTTCCCCTTCCACTGCCCCTTAGAGAGCTTTGCACTCTAAGATTATTCACTCAAATTGTGTCATTTTTGTCATGTTTTTTACTTTTTCCTGTTCCACTGGAAATCCTCGGCACCCCTCCCCATCGATCACGTTTATGTCCCCCTATCTTTAACACACTGCTCAGAGCCACAAGTGTTTCAGGACCTTAGGTTTGGACAAAACAAGCATGTCAATGCTGGGGAACCATGCAGCCCATACTGTCCACAGGCTCAGGCTATAAAGGAAATTCTCCACCTATTGATACCAGGCTTGGAGACACAGCACCTGTCATCAGAGGTGATCAAGCAGGGTCCTTGGTGTCGTGTTTTACCACTGGAGACTGAGAAGAACTGTTTGTTGCTTGGCTTATGAAGAATTAAGACTGAAGCTGGAGCTCACATCTGCCTCAGACACCCTGGGGACAGGTAGGCCCCATAAAAAAGGAGAATTACAGAACAATATCCCTGATGAACATGGATGTCAAAATACTCACCAAGATACTAGCAAATAAGATCCAACAGTACATTAAAAGGATCATCCACCACAACCAGTGGGATTTATTCCTGGGATTCAAGGATGGTTCAACATTTGCAAATCAATCGGCAAGATAGGTGACATAAATAAAAGAAAAGAACCATATGATCCTCTTAGTAGATACAGAAAAAAAGCATGTGACAAAATACAGCATCCCTTCTTGATAACAACTCTTCAAAGTGTAGGGATAGAGGGAACATACCTCAATTCCATAAAAGCCATCTATGAAAAGCCCACAGTGAATATGATTCTCAATGGGAAAAATAGAGCTTTTCCCCTAAGATCAGGAACACGTCAAGGATGTCCACTCTCACCACTATTGTTCAACATAGTACTAGAAGTCCTAGCAACAGCAATCAGACAACAAAAAGAAATAAAAGGTATTCAAATTGGCAAAGAAGAAGTCAAACTCTTTTCACAGATGACTTGATACTTTATGTGGAAAACCCAAAAGACTCCACCCTCAAATTACTAGAACTCATACAGCAATTCAGCAATGTGGCAGGATGTAAAGTCAATGCACAGAAATCAGTTGCTTTTCTATACACTAACAATGTGACTGAAGAAAAAGAAATTAAGGAATCAATTCCATTCACAGTTGCACCAAAAACGATAAGATATGTAGGAATAAAACTAACCAAGAGTTAAAGTATCTGTACTCAAAAAACTACACAACACTTATGGAAGTAACTGAGGAAGACAAGAGATGGAAAAACATTCCATGCTCATGGATTGGAAGAATAAATATTATTAAAATGTATATGCCACCCAGAACAATGTACACACTCAATGCAATCCTTATCAAGATAATGTCAGCATTTTTCACAGAGATGGAACAAATAATCCTAAAATTTGTAAGGAACCAAAAAAGACACCAAATGGCCAGAGGAATATTGAAAAAGAAAACCAAAGCCAGGGGCATCAAATGCCAGACTTCAAGCTCTAATGCAAAGCTATGGTCATCATGACAACATGGTACTGGCACAAAAACAGACACATAGATTCATGGAACACAATAGAGAGCCCAGAAATGGACCCTCAACTCTATGGTCAACTAATCTTCAACAAAGCAGGAAAGAATGTCCAATGGAAAAAAGTCTCTTCAATAAATTGTGCACATGAGGCACATGCAGGAGAACAAAACAGGATCATTTTCTTACATCATACACAAAGATAAACTGAAAATGGGTGTTAGACACAACTGATGAATCATTGAACACTACATTTGAAACTAATGATGTAATATATGTTGGCTAATTGCATTTAAATAAAAAAACAGAAACATGAAAAAAGCAAAATAAAAGTCCATTGATGACAAACCAGAAACAATTGTAAGAAACGCTATAATAACAGGTACTCTTAGTTTTAATACGAAATTCAATGATTCATTTGTTGTGTATAACACACAGTGTTCATCACATCACGTGCCTTCCTTAATACCCATAGCCCAATTACCCTATCCCCCCCCAACCACATCCTTATCCACAACCTTCAGTTTGCTTACTAGAGTGCAGAGTATTTAATGGTTTGTCTCCTTCTCTGATTTCTCCCCCCTTCAGTTTTTCCTCCCTTCCCCTATGATCCTCTGCACATTTCTTAATATTCCACATATGAGTGAAACCATATGATAATTGACTTTCTCTCTTGACTTATTTCACTTAGCACCATCTCCTCCAGTCCCATCCATGTTGATGTAAAAGTTGGGTATTCATCCTTTCTGATGGCTGAGTAATATTCCATTGTATATATGGACCACATCTTCTTTATCCATTCATCTGTTGAGGGGCATCTCGACTCCAC